TGATCTCGGTTACATGCATTTGTGCATATTGAGCAGATTGACTGTGAGAAGTTCACCTCCAGGATGACAATGGAAACAATGATGTCATGAGCTTGAGATAGACGATTGATAGAGTTGGCTTGTTAGCGTGTAGGTTTGTCGTGACAGTGACACTGTCATTGATAGTTGTGATGTTGTTTGGTGATGAATGAAAGAAGCTGTGCAAATAGGTAGGAAACATTCTTGTAGTAGTGTATTTGTCATATTGAGAAATGTGGTTAATCATGTTGTTAGGTGTGTGGGTTGTTCGACGAGTGATTCTATTGATGTGGATTGAGGTTGGACGGGAGAGAATGAGACGGATGAGGACGGTGCAGTGTATGAATTTGAAATATAGTAAGAGGAGTGGTATGGTGTAGTGTGTGTGTGTGTGTGAGTGTGTGTGTGGGATAGTGAAAAGGAGGCGGTCTTCACGCGCCAACCGGGCTGTCACATGGACACCATTCACAGGCGCTATCCCGCTACCGCACCACGCGGGGACTTTTGCCTGCTGGGTTTCCCCCCTGGGCCGGTCCGCCCCTCCTTAGACGACCTGGACAACCCGTCCTCCGACAGGTCATCCATATCGGCGCCGTGCTTAGCGTGGACGCCCGATCAACATGAGCACCCATATGCCAGAACTCCCGGTCCCACGAAATCCCGCACCCTGGCCTCCAAGTAGCTAGATTACAGGCGCACGCCACCACGCCCAGCCGTTAACATTCATTCAACACAATCACTTCATGCTCATTGGACATCATACAGACAACATAATTTACAACTGTCAGACAACTTCAATCAACAATGTCCACCACAATCAACACAACACACTTCGACATCGAGTCACTGCAAGTGCATACAAGATTGAATTCACAATCCATTCAATCCTATCTCATATAGAAATTGGAGATCATCACATCTATACAAACACACACTTTGACAAATATCATACTAAGACATGCACACAACACCACTCAGACAACAAATTAACTGTACGATGACTAGTCCATATGATGACATGACTAGTTGAAGAGGACACAGAACTGACACCACATTAATTATTTCTCAATATCTGTCATTTATCAATTGTTCGAATTGAAGGAATTACCACGAGGAGTGGTCGATTGTTAGGAGATGTTAAACACTGATCAATATCATCTCGTTCTAGTCTTTCCATCTCACCCACAACAGACAATCAATCGGCAACAAAGTAGCTTATTCACTGTAATCTACCCACTGAATCATCTCGTCAGTAATCTGTCTGTGTATATATTCCGTGTAATCAAGTGGACGGTTCGTGACGTGGATCAGTGTCTGGCATATTCGTTACTTGGTTGTCTTCATTGGTCGATCGAGTTGAGTAGACTGACAAGAGAACCATTGTGGCAGAATGACTACAATGAGTTGATCTCGGTTACATGCATGTGTGCATATTGAGCAGATTGACTGTGAGAAGTTCACCTCCAGGATGACAATGGAAACAATGATGTCATGAGCTTGAGATAGACGATTGATAGAGTTGGCTTGTTAGCGTGTAGGTTTGTCGTGACAGTGACACTGTCATTGATAGTTGTGATGTTGTTTGGTGATGAATGAAAGAAGCTGTGCAAATAGGTAGGAAACATTCTTGTAGTAGTGTATTTGTCATATTGAGAAATGTGGTTAATCATGTTGTTAGGTGTGTGGGTTGTTCGACGAGTGATTCTATTGATGTGGATTGAGGTTGGACGGGAGAGAATGAGACGGATGAGGACGGTGCAGTGTATGAATTTGAAATATAGTAAGAGGAGTGGTATGGTGTAGTGTGTGTGAGTGTGTGTGTGGGATAGTGAAAAGGAGGCGGTCTTCACGCGCCAACCGGGCTGTCACATGGACACCATTCACAGGCGCTATCCCGCTACCGCACCACGCGGGGACTTTTGCCTGCTGGGTTTCCCCCCTGGGCCGGTCCGCCCCTCCTTAGACGACCTGGACAACCCGTCCTCCGACAGGTCATCCATATCGGCGCCGTGCTTAGCGTGGACGCCCGATCAACATGAGCACCCATATGCCAGAACTCCCGGTCCCACGAAATCCCGCACCCTGGCCTCCAAGTAGCTAGATTACAGGCGCACGCCACCACGCCCAGCCGTTAACATTCATTCAACACAATCACTTCATGCTCATTGGACATCATACAGACAACATAATTTACAACTGTCAGACAACTTCAATCAACAATGTCCACCACAATCAACACAACACACTTCGACATCGAGTCACTGCAAGTGCATACAAGATTGAATTCACAATCCATTCAATCCTATCTCATATAGAAATTGGAGATCATCACATCTATACAAACACACACTTTGACAAATATCATACTAAGACATGCACACAACACCACTCAGACAACAAATTAACTGTACGATGACTAGTCCATATGATGACATGACTAGTTGAAGAGGACACAGAACTGACACCACATTAATTATTTCTCAATATCTGTCATTTATCAATTGTTCGAATTGAAGGAATTACCACGAGGAGTGATCGATTGTTAGGAGATGTTAAACACTGATCAATATCATCTCGTTCTAGTCTTTCCATCTCACCCACAACAGACAATCAATCGGCAACAAAGTAGCTTATTCACTGTAATCTACCCACTGAATCATCTCGTCAATAATCTGTCTGTGTATATATTCCGTGTAATCAAGTGGACGGTTCGTGACGTGGATCAGTGTCTGGCATATTCGTTACTTGGTTGTCTTCATTGGTCGATCGAGTTGAGTAGACTGACAAGAGAACCATTGTGGCAGAATGACTACAATGAGTTGATCTCGGTTACATGCATGTGTGCATATTGAGCAGATTGACTGTGAGAAGTTCACCTCCAGGATGACAATGGAAACAATGATGTCATGAGCTTGAGATAGACGATTGATAGAGTTGGCTTGTTAGCGTGTAGGTTTGTCGTGACAGTGTCATTGATAGTTGTGATGTTGTTTGGTGATGAATGAAAGAAGCTGTGCAAATAGGTAGGAAACATTCTTGTAGTAGTGTATTTGTCATATTGAGAAATGTGGTTAATCATGTTGTTAGGTGTGTGGGTTGTTCGACGAGTGATTCTATTGATGTGGATTGAGGTTGGACGGGAGAGAATGAGACGGATGAGGACGGTGCAGTGTATGAATTTGAAATATAGTAAGAGGAGTGGTATGGTGTAGTGTGTGTGTGGGATAGTGAAAAGGAGGCGGTCTTCACGCGCCAACCGGGCTGTCACATGGACACCATTCACAGGCGCTATCCCGCTACCGCACCACGCGGGGACTTTTGCCTGCTGGGTTTCCCCCCTGGGCCGGTCCGCCCCTCCTTAGACGACCTGGACAACCCGTCCTCCGACAGGTCATCCATATCGGCGCCGTGCTTAGCGTGGACGCCCGATCAACATGAGCACCCATATGCCAGATCTCCCGGTCCCACGAAATCCCGCACCCTGGCCTCCAAGTAGCTAGATTACAGGCGCACGCCACCACGCCCAGCCGTTAACATTCATTCAACACAATCACTTCATGCTCATTGGACATCATACAGACAACATAATTTACAACTGTCAGACAACTTCAATCAACAATGTCCACCACAATCAACACAACACACTTCGACATCGAGTCACTGCAAGTGCATACAAGATTGAATTCACAATCCATTCAATCCTATCTCATATAGAAATTGGAGATCATCACATCTATACAAACACACACTTTGACAAATATCATGTCGTTCTAGTCTTTCCATCTCACCCACAATAGACAATCAATCGGCAATATATAGTATGGAGAGTTTTGTGTAATATTTTGGTGGTTTATGTTTATACGATGGGCTTGTCAATCGTTTATTTTCGAAGTTTATGGCAACACTTCAATTAATGAACCACCTTTTATTGATTATTCTTGCTGATTTAACGCTATTTTCCGATCCTCAATTAGTCTCGTTGCCCTTAATCTAGAACTACATAGAGACTGTTACGCGAATAAAAATACGCAAAATATATGGGAAGTTCTTTACTCCAAATGTTCATTTATGTAGAGGAAATATTGGGTATTTATAGTATTTCAGAGGTTTTTGACTATTCTTGAATATCCTGGAATGCTGCGGAACATAGTAGCAGTGTAGTAGTCAGCCAGTGAGAAACTCTACCTGTGACTATTCATTGTCAAGATGTTTCTAGCAAAACTTCTAGTCAAACGCTGATTGGATAAAATGTCTATTTATGATTCCTGAGTTTGTCATGTCTATCGCGAGAAATTTTCAGGATCGCCCTAACATTTACAATCTTTGGACTTTTTATAATGCTCTTATGAAAAATGAACACATTGTATGTACAGTTACGATTTATTGAATAGTAATAATAATATGAAGATAAACGGTAATAAAGAATGTACACACTTATCAAAATAATAATTATATAAATAAAAGTGATAAAATCTGACACCCGGTAATCTACAACAGAGTAAAAGTTTATGAATTTTAGGGGATAGTTTACAAAACTGCACTTATGAAACATTTGGGTTTTGAATACGAAGCTTTTTATTAGTACGGAAAAGGTGAATGTAAACAGTTTTGTTTGGAGTTTTCCTAGGAGATAATGGGATTTCAATTTTATCTTCTTCATTTTCTTCCTCGTCTTCTTCATCAACGTCCTCCGCGATCTCTTCTTCCTCATCATCATCTATTTGTAATACAAACACACGCATATGCGACAGATTTATATAATGGATTTAGTACAAATAAGCAACAGATATGAACAATTCCATAGGGTAATTATTAATGTGATGCCAACATACTACGTAGTAATAGTATACAATGTTAAAATCATTATATCATTGATTTAAATATACGTGATTATTTAGAAGTAATTAAACCAAAACTTACCAGGATGGGAGACGCGTACGTGATTTTGCAAAGTTAGTTTCGACGTAAAAGTTCTATCACACTCAGCGCACTTAATTAATTTAGCTACAAATAAGATGATACGTAATAAAATGACGTGAATAACACTTTACTTGATGCATGAAATACATTATACAAACTAAAAGTCAAATACTTTTCAACTTAATGATTTATGGTTCGCATTGACGTCAGTTTCTCCATGCAATCTGTTTAAATGATTTTTGAGTGTACAACAGTAAACCATAAGGCTGATAATGAGTATAAACTAACTGAAGTTGAATAGTGGAGACAGGCTATCCACTGAACAGGTAATAAAGTGGTTACAAGCCCTGAAGGTTTTATGAGAGATCTCATCAAATGTCAAGCGGAAAATAAGAATGGAATAACCTTCCAATACTGACTCGATCTCTACTAATCATTAAAAGCAATAACGTGATAAAATCTTTAAGTCTAGTGACTGTAAATAAGAAAGTAAACAATACGTTCATAGTTGGGTGCTGGTCCTTCAAAACGTAACACCATAACAGGGTTGGAGTCAATTATCGCTTTGTTTGTGAAGGATAGAGATATAAATTCCCCAATATTGTGCATAATAAAACTGTAATGCAGAAATCTGTCTATTGACCAATATACAATTATTTAATTATACAATTCAAAATGAAGAGTTTGCAAGGTATAAGACACGGATTTAACTAACAGAGAGATTTCCTTTTAAATACTGAAGTAATGAATAAAATGAAGAGAACTACAGTCAATGAATAGAGTCATTGAGTTGCCAGCCTTGGAAATGAAAAACCCCAGCCTTATAGTTACACTGACTAAGTAAAAAAAACTTTGGTGTCCTGTTACTGAGACTTTTTGTGAAAAATAATATTAATTTATTAGCTCTTCGGAATATAGAATAAAGAGAACAGCACATTCAGAAAATAAATCTATCTCGGTATATGATGACATATACAGTCCAACAGTTAAGTGACAAACGGTATCCGTTGGATGTTAAAAACATGTATTTATTTTTAACCTTTTGGTATTCGATTAATAAAAATGAATAATGTACCTACAGAATTGATGAGTTATGACTCAATTGTATATGGATGGATAGTCGCAGTGTACTTACCAGCGTGTACATGTTTGTAATGTATTGCTACATCAGATCTGGAAGCAAAAGATTTGTTACAGCTAGCACATTTGAATATCAACCGACCTGAAAATGAATAATTCATAATAAAAAGTTTAAAAACAGGGTTATTCAAAATCAATGACAATACAATTTGTCTTTGATAACCTTTAAGCCAATTATTGACTAACAGAATTCTGGAGATTAGCCGAAGAAAAATTCGCTTAACTCGGAACGTAGATCATCTAATTAAGTGGTATAGATTATTTTAATATGCATTTTAACGACTCTCTTTTGTTATCTAGAATAGGTTTATAAAAGCACGTAAAGTGCATCCTATCATTACAGTAAAATCAGAAAATGTAACAAAAACTGAGGAAATGATGATAACATATTTTCTTTATCCGATTGATTTTATTCTATGCAAAACATAAGAGTATGTTGTTGATTGATAATAATCAAACATACTTGATAAAACACACAGGATTTTAACCAAGTTAGATTACAACAACAAATGTTGAGCAAAATAATGAAATTGGTAATTACTAATCAAAAAATGTGGTCCCTAACACTGTCTCACTGGAAATCTGAGATACGGAAACAAAACTTTGATCATAGAAGATGAAATATTTTAATTATAATTGCCCGAAGGGAACATTAGGACACCTTACTCTGAGCCCCAACAGCACTATCTGAACTTGAAAGTAACACCTGACTTCAGACAAAAATTTAGAGGACTATTGAATGAAGAACATTAGATATAAAAATATGGTAAGAGAAGATGCCTTGATTATATCACAGACAAGTGATAAACAAAGTGCTTCCGGACTAATAGATGAATACGGTTAAATACAATTTACTTTCTAGAAATTAATTTTACTTGAAAGTAATTTGAAATACATATTCAAACGAGTGAATAAAAGTAGGGATTAAGATGGAAATTAGAAAACACATAGCTGTTTTTTCTAAGTGAGGTTATTTCACTCTAAATACATACACAACAAAAAAGATACAAATTAACAATCAGGCTTACCTAAAGGAGGTCTCAATTTATTCGTTTTTCGTGGAACCGGGGAATTATACTGTTGTGGTGAGATTTTCATACCTGGACAAAAACACAAAGAATAAGACCTACATAAGATTATGTTCATAAATAATAACATAATAATAATAACATAAATAAGCTAAATGGGATGTTATTCATTGATGGAAAACATCTTCAGATAAGTGTTGTTCCAGCGTCTTATAAAATGCCAGCATTATATTTTCTTAATCAGAGAAAACACAGATGGATGTTGATTATGCAACAAACTAACATAGTAGTTAACAAGAATATACATTAAAACTATTTGCAAACATTTCAGTTAGAAACAACGTGTTTTATAAAAATAATGAGAGCGAATTGAGACACGGTTCGATTATGCGAGTTTGTGATTTACAACCACTTACTGAGGGCTTTATACGGACTAAATTCAGTTATTGGGAATGCGAATACATTATCAATGAGTCGTTATTGACGAAATAAACTTCACTTCGTAGCCAGCAACACTACAATAAATGTACTAATGGGTAAAACGACCTAGGATAACAAAGACTATCTGCTTATAAAATACTACAAGCATTTGCATATTATTTCAGTGGAATGTAGAAGGATAGAGAAAGGATGAATCATTTACAAAAATTTGTCCACTTAGTTTGAATTGTCACAGAGTAAAATGTCCCTGAGTTTACTGAATCTGAAGTTGCCAGCAATCGAGTTTGTATTATTAGATATGTGAGTCGAAAAATGTAGGAGCCAACAATATCCAGAGTGTATATGTGTTGACATATATATCTGCTGTACATACTAAAGATTTCGAAAACTAACCTTTATGTCGAGTTTCTTGATGTCTTCTGAAAATGCTTCCAGACAAGAAGAAATCGCCACATTGTTCACATTTGACCATCCTCTCTAAAAGAGAACACCGGATGAAAAAAAAAGAAAACTACACTTGAAGACTAAGCTAATTGATGAAAAATGATAACTCATAACGACAGACTTAAATAGTTTACGAAAACTGGAATACACAAATACTTCAATGCTGTTGCTTCGGTAATCAGAAATGAGAAATTCAAATCATGGACCATGTACTGTTTATAGATTACAAATATTCCGATCTGGACACAACCCATTGAGTATAGACAATCTGTCTCTAGACAAATTAAAATTTTTGATACGGGGATTCAAGTTGATAGCTTATGGTAAAGACGAGAGTGTTAGAGTACCAGAAATAGGAAGGCTAATGGATCCGTTTAGTTTGTATGTATATTATTATGGGTACAAGTGAAACAGATTTACCTTTGTATAAATGTAAAGCAGCAGTAAAGAGGAAAGAATTCAACGTGTTAAAGCCCTTTTTCACAGAAAATTTTAACTGTAGGTGGTAAGATTAATTCAAGAACCACTAAATCTAACAAATCAGATAAGCATATATAGCAGGTATCATAAACAGCAGGCACAGATAATAAAACCAATTAACTTTAACGATTGACAGAAAGAAAAAAATTTAATATTGCAATTTGTAGTTCGAAAAGCTATTAATAAAAATACAATGAACGGAACGGATATGCAAAAATATTAAAACGAAGACATAATGGTAAAAGAAAGACAACTTACTTCCATGAACCTGTTGTACATGAGCATGAAGATAAACTCGCAATGCAAATGTTCTGGAGCATACATCGCACTGAAATGACTGGACTGTAAAATAAAAGAAAGATAATATTAATTAGCATCCTATTACAAATAAAGTCATGATATTCTTGTAAACATCTGGTCATATTTAACGAAAAGGAAGAATACACACAACAAATACTCAGAAAATTTAAATTACACATGACTAAAAGCTGAAGACTTCAGTACTAACACCTAAAGAATTTTAATGACTAAAGAACGTCTATAAAAGACGTCAACAATATTCATAATTTGGTGAGTACAGCCAAATTAGCCTCAATACTTTAACATTGACGAAGGACAAACAGCACTGCAAATGCTTCTAACTGTTGAAGTATCATGAATAACACTTCTATTATTAGCTTCTACTACTCAAATCTATTGGAATCACTTTCAGAAACACCAATCACCATGAACATTGAATAGAAACCTGTGTCAACACAAACTGGGAGCCAAAAAATAGTGCTGATGAGGCAATGAATTAGGATCTATTGAAGTTTTAAGTAGTAGTTATCCAAAGTAATATGATATTGATTACTTAAGTCATTGAATCTGAATGCTATTTTCAACCCTCCATGTTTATGTATTTAGTGCTCCAATTTATACTGCTTATTACTAAGAAGTAGTATGGTTCGTAACTAAGCATTCCTAAGGTTGCCTAGACGACATTATGATGCAGGGGTATTTGTTTTATTCGTTTGTACGTTCAACTCGTTAGGTCAATTATATTTTCTACTTGCTATAAATCACCTACTTAGCCCCTTTTTCACCTTCACTATGCACGTTACTCTTATAAACTTCATGTATCTTGAACTAATTGCTATAAAATAACCATACTTTTAAGAAAACCTGGGTATTATTTGTCACGGGTATGGATTTTGCCTATTAGGAAGGTTTAACAAAAAGGTTTGTATGCGTTTAATATCAATGAATCCGTTACTACATATTATTGATTTTTTGGCTGTTAGGAAGCCTAACCGTTTTTTTGTAAATATTTGGGTTATCTGTTATGGACAAAAACAATTTGAAGCAGGCAATAAGAAATCGAGAGTATAAAGTACAGTTACCACCTTGGCACCAAATATATGAAACTATACTCACCATCATGGACAAGATGAATGTGATACCATAAACCGGATCGTGAGGTGAAGGAACGATCACAAGAAGGACAGTCGAATAATCTCCCTACATAACATAAAATAACACAAACATTTAAAAAATGAAAACCATTTTCATTGAGCACATGATCATTGGAGTTTGTTTATTAAATTCTGGTCCTGATAGGTAACTAGTGAAGTACAACATTGAAGATTAGATTTAGGAAAAGCTATCGATCGTGCTAAAAAATATTTATGGATAGGGTTACGATTATTAAGTGGATTGAAGGATCAAGTAGGGAGACAGAAATATGCAAAAGGGTAAATTGAGAATATCTTCAGCATTTAGCTAAGGGGATCATCATAAGTGTTAGTTATGTGCATAACTAGCCAATCAAATCATTGCTGAAACGCTCACCACGTCATTCTGGTCCGATGTGTCTGCAGACTATTCCTGTCACATGTGACCTGCCAATTGAAGGACATTATAATTCTATTATATTAGTGTGACTCATAATTTTTATTCATTTCGATAAGACATGCAATACTGGCCGAAACAGATAAAGTTAAAAGCCAAGTTGTTCTTGTTCTAACTATAGCTTTTACACGCTCTGGGTCGCCAGTATAGCCTTTACAGTTCCGGTAGAATATCTGTAGGACAAATTAAATCCTACAACTCCACCTGTAGCTCATCTAGGGTTACTGTTAGTCCAAAGACCGGGTAAAGAAGGAGGGTTAGGTATGGGGTCAGCAATCCCATCCCCCAGAAAACAATCTTGCTAGAAAAACACTAACCAGAATAAACAATTTAAACCATCTAAACTATGCCCTCCGAGGGGACGGATCTTCTTTCAGAAGAATTATAACACATAGTGAAAGCCGAGATTCTTCGGAAGTCACGATGCCGATGCCCCTTCTAACAACCACAGCAACAAATATTATATGTACATAAAATGTCCGGACAATATAGGCGATCTCGAGGATTAATCAAATAGCTACCGAAATGAGGAGATAGAATTTGGATGTGCCCATTTAACCCCAGCTAGACAGAAAAACATACATTCAGAAGAGAAGTTGCTGCTCTCTAGTCAAGAAGATGTCCTCCGCCGTCACAAGAAGCACACAAAACACTTATACGGTTGGAATCTCATGGATCCACCCATCAAAACAAAGAGGGAATCACAATGAATGTTATTCAATAATATGAACCCAACAATGATAGCAACGACGACGATAAAGATCCGCTTCAAGAGAGGCTGCAATCGATCATGGTGAAGTGCCCAGTAACCTAAATGACCGTCCAGATGGAAGATCTAAACCCAGAAATCAGAATGGATAGAAAACTTGGAGTCACTTTTGAATGGACCAGCTCCATTGAATCCACTGGACATCGAAGCAACACACACAGACCTTCCTATAGATGTCTTTCCATCAACGATGGAAGAAATCAACATGACCATCAGACAGGTCAACAGTGTGAAAGCAGCACGACCTGACAATATACAAGTTGAAGCACTAAAGTCAGACACAGAAGTAACTGCAAACATGCTTCACGCTCTATTCAGGAAAATGTGGGAGAAAGAATAAGTTTTACCGACAGACAAGAAAGAAGGACACCTCGTCAAGATATCAAAGGAAAGAGATTTCAACAAGTGTGATAAATAAAGTGGTATCACACTACTATCGGTAACAGGAAAAGTTCTCAACAGAGTATTGCTGAACCGGATGGAAGATTCAGTAGATGCCCAACTTCGAGGTCAACAGACCGGATTCCGTAAGGATAGGTTGTGTACAGACCAAATCGCGAAACTACGTATTATTGTTGAGCAATCACTTGAATGGAATTCGTCACTACACATCAACTTCCTTGGCTACGAGGCGTTTGGTAACGTGGACAGGAGAACCTTATGGAAGCTTCTTAGACACTATGGAGTGAGTACATGGGAAAATCGTCAACATCATACAAGATTCATACGACAGATTACACTGCAAAGTCGTGCATGGAGAATAGATGCGTTCCAAGTGACTACCGTTGTCAGACAAGATTTCTTGCCCTCATCCTTCAATACGAACGTCAAGACAGTTCTACTTTACAGAGCTGAGACTTCTAGAACTACAATAACCATCATCAAAAAGTTACAGGTGTTAATAAATAATTGCCCATTGACCGGATTTCATCAGTAACAGCCTACTGTGGGAGAAAACAAACCAACTTCCAGCTGAAGAGAAAATTAGGAGACGTTGGAAGTGGATTAAACATGTATTGAGGAAAACACCAAACTGCATCACGAAGCAAGAGATAACTTGGAATTCTGAAGGGATAATGAAAAATAGGAAGGTCAAAGAACATATCGAGCCGAGAGGTGGAAGTAGATATCAAAAGAATGAATAGCAGCTCGAAGGAATTGCCCAGGACAAAGTTCGATGGAGGATACTGATGAGTGACCAGCACAAGCGGTAATTGACGTAAGTAAGATCATTATAGATTCTTCATAACAAAAACTACCAACACACCAAAAGATAGACACTTTTGTTACATCCTAGTTAGAATTAAACTAGGGGTGACTTCTGAGAACTACTAATGGACTAATATTATATATATATTTTTATTGTCTAATTATTCAGTAACTAGATTGTGCATATCCATATTCGCCTTATTATAAGCTTCATTTTGACATACAGATTATTATTGTTATACGATTTACTGTTCTTAATTTATGTTCAGTTTATTGATTACAGTCTCCCACGTTCACAGCCACTTTTTGGATTGATCTTGTGCAAATGTTATTTCCTATTTTATGGTAAGATGAGGTTTGCTTGGCTGGTATGTCACCAGGTATGTTTGAAGAAAATTATTCGCATAGTGGCAGCTGTTATTAGCGTTCTGGACTCAAGTGGACAGACTAGGCGAACAAAGGACCAATAAGGACGCTAGGCTGTTCATACCGAATCGAACGTCATTGGTTTGGCACAGTACTACGACTGAATAAGTTGTACTTCGATTGTTGAATGATTCACACGATAAAAAGAATGGACAATGCCTTAATTCCTAGAAAAATTGTTTGTTTGTTCACAGGGAATGTCTGGAGCGGAGCAATGTAAACAAACGTAAAATATTCATAACACGATTTCTAATTTGAAACTATTATCTTTTCACATAATTATCATATTGTAACCAAAATAGTAGTGTTTACTTGAAATTTCCTTGGAAATTAATACAATCAAAAACTATTTTAAAACAACTATGACAAACACAACTAAACAATCATATACTTGCCTCCATGTATACTTTTTTCATGTTTCTTTAAATTACCCAATGAGGCGAACGTTGTGCCACATATTTCACATTTAGCTAATCTCTCTAGAAAAAATTAGAACGAACAAATATAGAGATAAGTGATTAAGGTAACAGAAATATTGAATAAACAGAACGTGATGATAAAAATTAATAAGCTTTCAGAATTTGAAGTCCGAGACGACATATAATTCAGTGTTTGCAGGAAACCCAACAGAAATGTATGTTCACTATTACTGTCTGTGGAACACGATGCACAAACAGCTAAACTAAAAGCAACTGTTAGTTACGTAATAGTACTGATATTTTTTGTAGTTTATTACCATAAGTATATAACCTTTAGCATTATATAACCAGTTAATCACAGATGCAATGATAGGTTAACAAATAAATCTAGAGAATCATTCCCCATTTATCATAATAATAACCCACTTAACAAAGAGACTAATATATTCAGTTTCTAGTCACATTCTTTGTGATGGCTAGCGATACTATCAGGTTTCCTAGATCAAAGTAGGTGAAGCGAGGATCGAATCTGCCGAGTACCTTAAGTACCATCACTAAGTACAGAATCCATTATCAATAAAAATGTTGGCTTATGTAATCAACCCACATAAATCCCCAGAGATAATAGAAGCTAAAATTTGGAAAGGGTTCTAATAATTAATTATGCACATGTAGCATGTAATTTATATTATAAGTAGACCTATGCCCGATTACGTTTCTAACTAGGATCCGTTGCTCTACGGGTTTGAGGACATAGCTGAAAAATCAATGCGTATGTGTAAAATTTTGGTAGTGACTATAATACAACAGAATTCAAATAAAGCCGTAACAGCAACTAAGACAAAATAATATGAATTCATCCTATTTTATGGTCTCTTCAGCTGCTTACAACCGTATTTGTATATTATAATATTAAGTAATAGACATTAGTGACCGAAAAATTAAAACGACAACAACTATCGATATTATGTGCATATCTACATGGATAAATGAATGTAAGTTCATTTGAAGAAAAATATCGAAACTATAGAGATAGTGAAGCAGTAATAATCTAAAATCCAAAAAGTGGTGATGGGTTTCTTAATAAGCTTTAAGGTAAAACGAAAATAGACAAGTCCTCTTTCTTTGGTATCTCTAATCGTATTTATAAATTTACACGTACGTTCCACAGCAAATACACCGGAAGGACAGAAGGAACAGTGCATGTTCATATTTTTGAGCACGTTCCAAAGAATTCGGGATTAGATGCCATATCCCACGGTAATAGCTCGATATCTAGTCGACGGCGGGGTTACAATCAATTTTCTGATTCTAGATAATTACTTCTTCACCCTCTCTATAGTTTCGATATTTTTCTTCAAATGAACTTACATTCGTTTATTCATGTAGATATGCACATAATATCGATAGTTGTTGTCATTTTAATTTTTCGGTTACTAATGTCTATTACTTAATATTATATTATACAAATACGGCTGTAAGCAGCTGAAGAGACCATAAAATAGGATGAATTCATATTATTTTGCCTTAGTTGTTCTTATCCCCGACCGTAGCTGCTACCTTGACGTGGTGGTCGGGCTTGTGTATCGTAGGTGAAGGAGTAGATTGGAAGAATGCTAGGGGCGGCCAAACTAAAACATAGCCCATATCCATGAAGTCTCTGAGAAGTGGACTGAGCTATGTTGGTGTGTGTAGACTACCTGGTTGGGATTCGCGAGATGATAGCAACCAATAGTTAGAGATCTTGAATGACATGGCTCAAAATCGTTTGCAATGACGAAGGTGCATCCACTCGTACTACTAAGTTCTACGTTGTGATTGACTGACTGAGTTGTTGTTATGGCTTTATTCAAACACATAACGGGAAAAATTGTACAACATGGAAAGCAAGACGAGAAATACCACAAATCCATTTAATTTATTCTATAAAAGCAAGAATTATAACCAGGTTACATGAATTCTGCTTCCAATATATTTAGACACGCTAAACACATTTAGAATATCAAAACTAAAATATTTGAAACTAGTTGACAAAATAATTGAACTGATTATGTAATTGCAAATCAAATTCACCACGATACCAAGTGGAAATTCTACCTCTCACATATTTTTAATGATCGGTATTAGTTGTCACAGTATGTAGTGAAAATAAGCTTAGTAACACCAGTTACACTACAATTTATTTAAAAGGGGAGGAGTGATATAATGATGATTGTGTACTATTTATCACTAAATTATTTGATTTAAGTAAAAGAGGAAAATATATAGATAAACAAATATATAAGCATGATCATAGAATTCAATAAAATAACTTGTTATTTTGTAAATGAAAAATTTACTTTCATGAACTTGTTGGATATGTGCAATAAGATATTGTTTTAATCTGAAGGTTCTTGAACACTGATCACATGGATAATTTTGTACTATGAAAAAAAAGAAAAACAAAGTTTTTTAAAACATACCGATAAATGAGTAAATGAAAAGTATGATACCTGTAGTACTTTCAAAATAAATAAAATTCACAAATAATTATAGTTTAACCGTTTAAAGATCCCCATCATATTAAAAGAAAATTATTTGAATAGTCTTTTAATTATAGTTTCTACAATATTTGGTCATAAAACACAACAAAATAGATTTTCCATATTTAATGGTCAATTATTGGTTAACTATTACACTAAATAAACTGCAAGTCAGAGAGTTTCACTTTAAGATGAAAAACTGATTGTTTAATCAAATCGAATAAATAAAGACCAATTAGACTGATGTATTGTGAATTTCGATAAAGTCCATTGATATTTTATTAATAATTTTTTATGGAAATTTCTAGCAACACGAATTGGTGCATTAAACCGTATCTGACCAAATCTATTATAGTCTTAATTGTTTTATACACAACACTAAATGAGCTATTTTGAAAACAATAAATTTCCACAGAATCACTTCAAATATTATACATGGATAGTTGGTCGTATCGTGCAAAAGGAAGTGTGTTTTACGAGGTGTCAGTTGGCTCAAGAGTATGGGTGAGTCATGCTAACGAACTGAAAGCAACTTCGATACCCAGCAACGAGACCCAACATAAAATACCTCTTGATATTCTGCTGTACACCTTTGAAATCAAAACCCCTGAAACAGATAGACCGGTCTCTACGCAAGCAAAGAGTGATACCACTTCTTCATAGCATAGACGATGGACAAATCGAAAGCACAGATCAGTCACGCGGTTGCAGGTGAACCCTAACACCAGATCCGACGAATTCGGGATATACATTTGACTAAAGCACGTTCCGTACAGGTTTCTGTTAGGGCGCGCTGAGTGGCTATGTTTTAACCAGTCAGCACTAGAGGATGCATGGAGAAGACTAGAATCTTCATATTTAAAAATTATAAATATCCTGAAGTTTTTCTTATTGTGATTCTTACTTCCACTCTTGTTATTTGGAATATAATTACGTTCCTGTTCAACCGTGTTCTGATTTGGGGACTTGTCGAGTGAAATAATGCCCAAGAATACTAAGCAATAAGAGTAGCTGGGTCGTAATAGAAATCATAACAGATGGACAGTAGAAAATTGTGATGTTCAAGTTAACTACGTGATGAACTATAAGTGAAATTGATTTGAAAATAGATTGGAGATGTCAAAGGAATAATAACTGACTCTCCTTTAATCAGTGTTTGCTTTTTGCATAAACAGAAAAAACTAGCCTGAGATGGAACGCAAAAGCATATGCACATTAAATATACTATGAAATTTCAAAAGTTAGCTTGCAGTATTCCTTCAAAGAATACGTTAACAGGGAATCATCATGTTAATCAGTTTATATTTGCCCTCCACAAATAACATTCACTTCATTAGCGGAACACATAAGGGTTTATCGAAAAATGTAAAACTATATCTACTTTCCACGACACTTATTTTATATATATGATTTACAATAATTAAATAACACTCATGGAGTAGATACGTTACGTAATAATTATATAATGACATCGATTATAAACTAACAATTATTGGAAGGGAAGGATTAATACTAATCAAAGTTTATAATCGATGTCATTATATAACTATTACGTAACTTATTTTATACTCATGAAAAATCTGAAAGAATGTACCTTCGTGAACAAGTTGTACATGGTACCATAACCCTGATCTGGAGGTGAAAGTTCGGTCACAAGAAGAACATTTAAATATCTTTCCTGCAATGAATTAATGTAACCAAGATAAACAACTTAATAAATAACAGCTAAATCATAAAATACGAGTGATACAAAGGATATGTAAAGTGATATCATTTCGGGAAATATATTTGTTCATATATCAATTAAGCAATCATCTCTATAGGAAGTTAGGTATTGTTGATGGTCATTTGTACTTGAATTTTTTGAAAGATACATTCATGAATAACTGAACTAAAACTTCAAGGTAATTGAATAAGCAATAAGTAAATAATATCATCAAAGTAAACATACTTCACTTTGAAATAGCTTGGATGAGATGTTCGTAAAACTAAACAAACTGACATGGTTGCAACATACCGTAGAATTAAGAGGCCTGCAAATGAGGAGTGAGGTCAATAAATGATAACGGTTTATGATCTATGTTAGGAATTATGTGAAGTGTCAATTGGTGTAAACCACTCCTTTGAAAGGATGTAGTAAGAGTAGAAATCAATCTCAATTGGGCAGATGCATCTATGATACTTTGAAAGAGTTGAAGATAGTTTCCAAAAAATTTGATTTCATCCCGTCAAGTTACTTTTTTGAGTATTTGTATTTGGTCGAATTCTCTCAGGTTGTCTTGTTAGAAGCTAGAGAAACTTAAACCAACGAATTGGTATAGAAATTTTTTAACTTGCCTAATTGGTCTCTAAACCAACAAACGAAGTATCCTATCTAAATGATCGCTTAACAATATATTTTTCCACTCCTTAACGATAACTTTATTATTTATGATAAATCAGCGAATAAATCTGTAGGAATATGTCATACGATTGGCATCCCAGTGATAAAATAATTAAGATATTACTCACTCACCGTAGTCTTTGCCGAATTTGCGTTCACTCAGAACTGTGTGTTGTGGAAAAAGCGTCTGAGATGAGTTGCAGAAAAATTTTATGTCTATAAGAGAACATAAAAGTGTGGTATGAGATATGGTGGTAAGTACCACACCAATACAGTATGTTTTGAAAACTAATGAGCAGATAAATATTATGAACAGAAGATAAAAATATGCAGGTCGGTGTGTTTATAAACGAAAATCGGAATCAAGCCATTATTTCGCATGATTAAACTATAATACATCTTATGAGTAAAGCGGTGTATAACTACCACATTCGATTTGTTGGATGGAAACCTGATCGTTGCTGTTACCTTGACGTGGTGGTCGGGCTTGCCTGTCGTAAGGAACCAATCAAGTTATACTGGCTGGAACAATCGTTCCTCAAAGTTCTACCATGCCAGACAGGTCGGTTGAAGAGCGGTAAGACTAAAAGCAGCAAACCAATGGTCCGAAGGCGAAGTAGTACTGCTAACTGCACAGACGAGAGACGGCAGTAACGTGTTTCTTTCAGACAACCAGCATAACGACGATGCTGCCTTCCCACAAGAAGGGGTGGGTTTAGAAAATGTCGAACCCAGAAATGCACACCTCGCCTTATGCCACGGATATCCGTCTCCGGCTGCAAGGTCCCAACAAGTACCGAGCTAACACAAAAATTACCCACAAAAAAGGTCGAGTGTGATCGATCTCAAGCAGTTATCCATTGGGCACTGTGGTCACGCTCTCAGGTCACCAAGATCACTTCTAATCCAATTTTTTTCAGGTACCTCTAAAAGAACTCTTTCATGGTGTGGGCAATCGGGAAGTGATAACCGCCCTTATACCTCTAACAGCACTCAAGATCACTGTATTCAGTTTCTATTATTCCTCCTACTTCGATTCTCAACTATAAACTTCCTCTTTTAACTTCCCCCACAAGTGTCACCATGGCCAACGATACTAGTGCGCGAAACACTGTCCTAGATCTACTGGAACCTTGCTGCAAACTGTACATTGGAGCCTTCAACGTACGCACCCAGTATCGAATCGGACAGCGGGTCTCCTTTGCTAAAACGCAAGAATCTTGTACCACTGATGTATGTTGTGTCTCCGAAACACGCATACGGGGTCCTAGTGTGGTCATTCACCTGATCTCACCTCGCCAAAACCGAGAGCCGAGGAAATAGCCCCTCCGTTTAGGTTCTGTGGCAGTGTCTGTCATTTAAAGGAGCACCTCAGAAGTACATAAACCTTGAGAAGGCTCTTTACTTGAACACTACCAGTCGAGTCAGAGATTATGGCGAACTGTCCGCCTGATTTTACAACCTCACGTGGTATCCAACATGGCTGTCAATTATATCCATTTTTAAATTCATTCAGTATTGTTTGTTTGAATCTTCCCATCGATTTGTTAGGACTGCAACTGGTCAGTCTCTAATTGGCATATGTGTATACTGTGCGTATTGCCTCAATATAGCCTTAATTCACAAACATGGTAAGCAGAGATGGATAGTGGCTAGCAGTGGAATCCAGGACTGATCAGTTGCAGTCCTAACAAATCGATGGGAAGATTCAAACAAACAATACTGAATGAATTTAAACTTCACCCTATCGCACAAGCAAGTGGCTATCAGGACTCAGTGGCCGAGTGGATAACGCGATGGCGTTTGTAAGCGAGGGTACTGGGTTCGAGTCCCAGAGTGAACATCAACTCTGAGATGCAGGTACATCCGGCTGACGAATCCCAAATAGGACGAATCGCGCGTCCTGGATTCCACTGCTAGCCACTATCCATCTCTGCTTACCATATCTCCATTTTTGTTCAACTGCATCATAGAACTACTGCTGGATATATCGCTCTCGTCGACTGAATTTTCAGGCATTGATCTCCTACTTAGAATACGCAGATGACATAGTCCTGTTTGGTGAAGATGCTGACAAAATACAGAGTCTTTTGATAACACTGAGTAACAATGCAAGGATGTTTGGAATGCGTTTCTTCCCATCTAAATGTAAATTGTTGCTCCAGGAGTGGCCTGCGTCAGCAGCTGAACTAAGGATAGGGAGTGAAGTAGTCGAACGCGTGGACAACTTCACTTATCTTGGAAGTGTGATCAGCCCAAATAGGTTGGTGTCTCACGAAATCGCTGTGAGGATTCAGAAAGCTCACTTGACTTCTGCCAACTTACAACACCTATGACAAAGGCGAGATATCTGTCTATCAATTAAGGGACGAGTATACTGAGCAACAGTTTGCTCTGTTCCACTTTACGGCTGCGAAACGTGATCATTAAGAGTAGAAGATACTCGTAAGTTACTAGTATTTGATTACAGATATATTAGAAATATTGCTCGCATCTTCTGGGATCACTGGGTAAGTAATAGTAAGGTTAGATACAGGGTGTTAGGGAATGATGGTAAATCAGTTGATGTGGTTGACAAACTTCACCGACTGAGATGGTTGGGTGACGTGTTACGTATGCCTGAACACCATTTGCCCCGATGCGCAATGCTAACTAGTGCTGGGGATGGCTGGAAGAAAGTTAGGGGCAGCCAAACTAAAACGTGGCATCAGTGCTTGAAGTTGCTAAATTCTATTCTCAGCCATGTGTATACACTCCCCGTTTTCCCTTAAACTAAGAGGTTAAAATTACTTTATATCTTTCTTTCTATGAACCAACCGAGTAGTCTACACCTACCAACATAGTTCAGTCCACTTGTCAGTGACTTCATGGATTCGCGCCAAGTTTTGGTCTGGCCACCCCTAGCTTTCTTCCAACCTATTCTTATGCCATAAAACATTGTACGTCAGGGCAGTCGTTGGTTGGGCATACGTAACACGTGTCCCAGCCATCTCAAATGATGAAGTTTCACTACCTCATCAATCGATTTGCCATCCTTACCTAGTACCCGTTTCCTAACAACTGCATTACTAACACGGTGGCACCAGGATATACAACATTGCTTCGAAGACACCTATGATCAAATACTAGTAGCCTAAGAATATCCTCTACTTTTATCGGCCATGTTTCACTGCCATAAAGAAGGACGGAACGAACTCCTGCACAGTAAACCCGTCCTTTTGTTGCTAGATGGATATCTCGCCTACGCCATAAATGACGCAAGTTGGCGAAAGCTAGACGAGCCTTCTGTATCCGTGCTGAAATTTCGTCACACACCAGACCACAAGGGCTGATGAGACTCCCAAGATAAGTAAAGCAGCCAACACGCTCAACTACTTCACTCCCTATCATTAGTTCAGGTGTCGATGCAACCCAATCCTGAAGTAACATTTTGCACTTCGAGGGAGAGAATCGCATCCCGAACATGCCTGCACTGTTGCTTATAGTGGTCAGAAGACTCTGCATTTTGTCAGCGTCTTCACCGAGTAAAACTATGTCGTCGGCGTATTCTAAGTCAACAAATGAATCTCCCGGTAAAAGTTCAACTCCAGGAGATTGAGATAATGAAAGTGATATCTCTAAAAGCATGTCAACGACAAAGTTAAACAAGAATGAGGAGAGTGGACAGCCCTGACGAACACCACTTGAGGTAACCAATTCTGATGACAGTTCGCTTTAGGCTCTAACTCGACCAGTTGTGTTCGAGTAGAGAGCCTTTATGAGGTTAGTGTACTTCTTCGGTACTCCTTTCACTGACAAACACTGCCATGGAACCTCACGATCAACGGAGTCAAATGCCGCCTTAAGGTCAAGAAATACTACTATTGTGGAACGTCTGAATGTATGTCTATGTTCTAGGACCTGACGTAGAGTGAATATCTGGTCTATGCAACCACGTCCAGGTCGGAAACCAGCTTGGTTTTTTCTAGTCTGTTCTTCACGAGCTTTGGTTAGGCGCATAAGTATTATTGAAGCTAATATTTTAGACATTATATTAGTCAAACTGATTCCTCTGTGATTGTCACAGGAGGACTTTTGTCCTTTCTTATAAACTGGCACAATCAGTGATTGGGACCAGTCAGATGGAATTACGTCCAGTCCCCAAATTCTACCTGAGACCTCAGTCAATCTCGTTGCTAGTACTGGACCACCATCCTTAAAAATCTCAGGGGTCAACCTGTCAGGGCCTGCTGCTCTCCCTCGCTTCAGATTTCCTATAGCTTTTTCAACCTCGTAGAGAGTTGGAGGACTTACATCAATTTGCCATTCAGAACGACTGGGGATCGCGGGGTAACTAAAGTGTGGCTGAAGGCCAGTTGAACTGATCCCTAAAGTGTTCTGCCCATCGATCCAATCTCCTGGATTGAGAATGAATGATATGTCCATCTTTATTTGAGATAGTTTCGCTGATAGTTGGGTTCCTAATACCGGTTTCTTCAATAAGTCTGAATAGCTGTCTGCTGTTACCTATTTCCGCTGCCTTTTCCATCTCTCTTGCTTTCGCTACCCACCACTGTTCACGATCATTGCGTAGGCTTCTTATTAGCCTGCGCTTAAGCTGACTCCGCTCTTCGTTATGTTTAGAGTCAGGCAATATGAGTTTTCGAGCATCTATCAGTGCGGTAGATGCTGCCGAGATCCATTGTTTCTCCCTGACCTTATGACTTACCTTACTAGCGAATATTACTGCTGTTTCCACAGCTTTACGGATGTCATCTCACGCTGCCTCGGGGTGGGCACAACTTACATGGCTGCCTAATTGCTTTTCTAGTTGTTCCTGAAATATATTCTTCGCTTGGCCATTATTAACTAGAACCCTAAAAGGTTTCCTTGCAGTGTCTTTCCTACGTCCAGTAAGGCGCAGACAAATAAGCGCTCTCACTGGAGCATGATCCGAATCTAAGCATGTACTCCAGAATGTCTGAGGGAGACACCTTACTGCTGTCACAACCCTCTACAGTTAGCAGTACGACTTCGCCCTAAGACCTTGAGTTGCTGCTTTTAGTCTAACCGTTTTCCAATTGACATGGCTGGCATGGTAGAACCTACAGGAACATATGTTCCAGCCAAGATAGCTCGATTGGGTCGTCAATATAGACAAGCCTGACCACCACGTCAAGGTAGCAGCTACGATCGGGTCCTACGTCGTAGCTGACTGACTGACCATCTGGTGAAAA